AACTTGGTGACTCAGGTTTCAGTGTTGGTTTTTCATTTGCAGGCAGCTGACGTGCAAAGGGAAACCTGCTAATGTGTACAACTATGTTTATCACAAAGGAGGAAGGATGGTATCTTTTGGGGGACACGGTTTTTTCCTGTCACTAAATTTAAAAACGAGATTTTCTGCATTGGCCCATAAATGACCTAAAAATCTGACTATTCTTTACTGTGAATTTCCAACAGCTTTAGAACCAGTGATGTAGTGACTGGGACTGGGACAAATTTTGGTAGCAATTACTATCCATAATTCTTCAAGACTCTTCAGGTGAACTTTCCCTAATACCGTATACTCATTGTGACATCATCATATGAAGAACATATACTCCTCGCCTCCACCTCCGAGGAAATATGTTTGTCACCATGCAGAACATTCACATTGAAGGCAGATTAAAGCAAAAACATCAGTGTGTTTGCAGACGAAATAGCTCAGTTCAAAAGGCTTTTCTCCTTTCCAAGCCCAATGCTGGCCTTATGAAGGCCACACTGCTCTCTCATCAAGGGCAGGGTCATCCTTCACGGACACTGGCACATAAAATAAATGACCTTTGCAAAACACTGCCACAGGTGAGCTTTCCTGCTCCAACATGGAGGCGCAGCAACTGATCTGCATATGCTAACATGAGTTTCCAGGGATGATGCCAAAATAAGCTCCTGTCCTCCCTCACCTTTACTTTAATCCCCACATAGGTTTTGCTTTTACCATATGGTAATTATTTCCAAATCACAAGTGCAAACACTCACTCTGATTGGAAAATTAGCAGATTTCAAACTCAGGTAATTTGTCCCTAATGAGGAACTTGTTGAACTGAATTTAACAATTAACTCATACACCCCTTGATGCCTGCGGCTTTGGCAATGTAGTGGGAAGACAGAAGGGCTAGTGGAGGCCTGGACACTGGCAGGACTTTGGGTACAAGACGAAGGCCAGGATGGGGAAGGCATGTTCATGGGGCGGTACGAACATCAGCAACTTGGCTGTCTAAAGGGATATACGGGGGTGGTGAAGCCAACTTCAACTACACACCACAGTAGAGAGAACACTATAATGAGTGCCATATGCCCATCACCCAGCTCACAACACCAACTCACGACTGATCCAGCATCACTTGTGCAGGAAGAACTGGAGACCTGAAAGATGACAGGGAGGAGGAGGAAACGGAAGAGTAAAAGACAGCATGGCGCCTCTCTATCCGTCAGGTTCCAAGTTCTTCAGGGCCAGAGATACATGGATATTGAGCACTTGAAATGTTGTAAGACTGAAGAACTAATAGTTAAATTTTATTTGCTTTTAATTAATTGAGATTTTAAAATATATTTGATTTAATTTTTGGGAAACTAAGTATGTTGGGAGGTGAATGTACATTTTCAACTGTAAATTTTACAAAATCTAAATTCAAGCCAAATATTTTTATAACAATTTAACATCCAAATTGACATAGTCTGGAATTTGAAGTTTTAATGAAAATAAAAGAATATAAAATGTCAAGAATTTTAAAATATTGACAAATGGAAATGATGTTTTGGATATCTGTATGAATTAAGTATGTTTTGTTATTAATTTCTCCTATATATATGTACTTTTTAAAATGCAGCTATGAGAAAATTTAAAGTTACAATGAGACCCCAGTTAAGATTCCTACAGCACAGCACTTTCCAGAGCTAGAATTCTCCTTTAAAACAAAGATCCTCAAGAAATGTGATAATCTTGTTCCCAAGCTCCTGTCCCATAACAAAGGCCCACTTCTGCGTGTAACTACCTGGGTGCTTGTCTGAGGGACATCTCTGTGACCTGGGAATTCTAAGGCCACCTGCTTTCACGTTATGTGAAATGCCTCACTGTCAATGCTGTCCACTAGATTCCTGAAGATGTGCCTACAGAAGTCTAATTGTGGATTGGTAGGATTTTTTGTGGCTTAGGAAAGGGTTTCCAGGGTTTCAAGATGCTAAAATAAATGAAAAGTTTACTCCCAAAATGTAGCAAACTGGATATACTCAAAAGGAACCCCAAGTCAAAGTACCAACCAGGTGGAGCTCATGAAAAGGAAATAAATATATTTTAAGGGGCTGGGGATTTAGCTCAGTGGCATAAGTGTTTGCCTGGCAAGTGTTAAGATTGTGAGTTTGATTCTTGGTATCAAAACAACAAAAAAAATATTTTCTAAAAAAATGAGCAAATGGTAATCTGAAACAAAACCAAATTTATTTAGCTTCCTGGGAAGAAAGGCACACATGACTCAGGTACAAATTCAGCTAGTTATCAGGAGGCAGAGGGCAAAGGGAGGAAAGACACTCCACCTGCAATATTCCCAAGTCAGGTCTCTGCCAGGCGCCCATAGGCCAAGGATGCATTCTTCTTGGCAACAGCTCATCCCACTGGTTCACTTCTTCAGCTACATTGCGGGCGCCACTCCCTGTGATGCCCAGGATGGGCTCCTTGTTACTCAGATGGCAACATTGATGTGCTGTCAGGAAGTCAGTCTGTTTTTTATTAATCACTTTTAAACTGTCAGGCAAAATTTCCTTTCTTCTTAGAGCAAAAAGTAGACAAATACACATGTGTACTTATAAAGAGAAATCTTATCTTTGCTATTTAAAGTGCATAAAGGAGCCAAATGTGGGAAATTACAACAAATACATGAGTGATAAAAAAAAAAAACCACTATCCACAATAGGTAAAGGTAGATACAATCCAATTAGCCAACAATCAAGGAATGGATAAACAGAATACAGTACATACATATTATGAAACATTATTCAGCCAAACAGGAATGAAGTACTGATACATGTAAAAAAATCCAAGAACCTCAAAAGCATTATGGTAGACACCAAAAAGAACATACGGTATGATTCCAGTGGTAGGAGACGCTGTGAACAGTGCAGTTCCTGGGGACAGAAAGCAAATTAGCGGTCGCCAGGGGCAGGTGGCAGGGAGGAGGACTGCTGAGTGCCTGATGGGTCCAGGATTTTTCATTCTGAAGGGCTGAACATGTTAGGGAAATAGAGGTGGTGTCGGCTCAACACTGAGAATGTGCTGAGTGCCAGAGAATTGTACCTGAAAATGGCTAAATGCTTCTTACGTGAATTACAACTCAAGTTTTAACAAGGAAGGGGTGAAAAAGAGGCCAGAAAAGTTCAAGGATCTTTGAGTCCCATTGAAGGAAAAAAAAATGGACTTGATGGAGCAAGGACTGAGGAACAACTGATGAAACAAAGGGAAAAGGAGGAGGACATCCTACTTACCAAGCTAAGGAGACTACAGCTATTTATTAGAAAGAAAGAAAAAAGTTACCAAATGTTTCTTTTACCTATTTAAAAGTAACCTAAGTTTTTTTGTTGTTGTTGTTGTTTTTTTTGTTTTGTTTTTTTTTTGGCGGTCCAGGAGGTTGGACCCAGTGCCTTTGCACTGAGTAACAATCCTAGTCCTTTTTAATATTTTATTTCAAGACAGTGCCCCACTGCTTTGTTAGAGTACCCATGCTGGGCCCAAACTTGTGAGGACTGAGCTTACAGGCATGAGACACCATGTCCTGCTGTAACCTACTATTCAAAAAATTTGTAAATAACTTTCTAAAGAGACAGACAAGGCACCAGAGAAGTGCCTTTGAGGGCCAGTGACAGGGTCTGGAGGAGAGATTTGCTCTGCGGTGGGGGAGGGAGAACACTGAGTGCAGGGAGACTTGGAAGGGTTTGGGGACGGTCACACTCTCTCATCTGCCACCGACTGCATCCCACAGGTGTGCAGATCTCTGCTGTACTCAGTCTCAGTGTGACCTTCGTTTCTTGTGGAGTCTTTCCATTTTTCAAACTAAATGTGTAGCAACTACAACTCATACACTGCACACAAACCTTTCAAACTGAACACGTGGACACCAGCTATGTTGTCCTGAAAGCTGTTTCGTCTAGCTATAGGTATATATTCTTTCGGGAAAACTAGTTTTTAAAAGGCAGTCGTTTTCCTGTCACGTAGGGAAACATGGCTGAACCTTGAGAACATTGTGCAGAGTGACATAAACCTGTCTCTAAATGATGAGCACCGTCAGGATTTCACTTTGTGAATTGCCCAGCGTGCTTCAGCAACGCTTGCCCATGGAAACAGAAGGCAGAATGAATGCAGGCTGCCAGGGGCTGGAGGACAGCAAAAGGGGTGCTGCTGTTCAAGGGGTGCAGAGTCTGGGGTCTGCAAGATGCAAAGCTCCTGGAGCTCTGGCACACAAGCACGTGAAGGAGCTCGGTACTACTGAGCAGTGTCCTTCAAAGGGTGAAGGCAGGCAATTTTGCGCTCTGTTTTACAATCAAAACTTAAAAACCAGCACATCTTGCTCGAACATTAACCAGCAGTGTATTCTTATTGTCATTTTATGCTTCAGAGAACTTGTAAGTTTCGTTGAACCTCGTTTGAGTTTGAGCACACATTCAAATACTACAGTAAAAGTATGTCAGCAAACGAACAGTAACTTCAGCAAGACAATCACAGCTCATTAAATGCATTCCCTGTTTCTAGGTAAAACTTATGGGATTGCGCTTTGGTATAAAGCTTTTGCTTTAAAATACTAAAACATCAAAAACATCAAAGATGAAGTAAAAACCCAGAACAGATTCAGCTCTGTGCTTGAGTGTTTTAAATACACAGAAAGCAAGGCAGGACTCAGGACTCTGAGGTGGCTGGTGGGCCTCTGTTGGTGCTACCACTTATCTGGTCAACTGTGTAACCACGACGTGGGATCTGAGTGATCTAAGTTGCTACTGTCACCAGAGACATTAGTCACAGCCCCCTGGCATCAGCACCTGTCCATGAGGCTGCAGTTGTTCTTGCAGGGTAACAGTATCCTAGAATCTTTCCAGAGAGAGGCTTTGCTTGGCAGAAAAAAGCTCATCCAATATAGTTGCCTCTGCCTGCAAAAAAAAACACCTTTCTCCAGCAAGGTTCATCATAACATCTTGCTGAGCAGGCAAGGCCCATCACTGACTGCTCAGATCTCGTACAAAAGCCTGTGGGCTGGGCTGTGGTGGGAAAGCAGTGGGTTGCTGAAGTTGTCCATCAACTGATACAACTCACACTGGAGTTGAGGCTGAGGCTGGAGTTGGGGCTGGGGCTGGGGCTGGGGTTCTGGTTGGAGTTGGGGCTGGGGCTAGGGCTTGGGCCAGGGTTGGGGCTGGGGCTGGAATTGGGGTTGGGGCCTGGGTTGGAACTGAGGCTGGGGTTGGAATTGGGGCTGGGGCTGGAATTGGGGTTGGGTCTGAAATTGGGGCTGGGGGTGGGGTTGGAGTTGGGGTTGGGGCTGGAATTGGGGTTGAAGCTGGGGTTGGAACTGGGGCTGGGGTTGGGGCTGGAATTGGGGTTGAAGCTGGGGTTGGAATTGGGATTGATTCTGGGGTTGGGGTTGGAACTGGAGATGGGGTTGGAATTGGGGTTGGGACTGGGGTTGGGGTTGGGGTTGGAACTGGGGCTGGGGTTGGATTTGGGGTTGGGGCTGAGGTTTGAGCTGGAATTGGGGCTGAAGCTCCTGTGAATGTATCTGAGGGTGCAAAGTGGTAGAACTAGTTGGAAGCTGGAGTAGAAAGTTTGTACAATCATTATTGTTACGTAAACCACGACCATTAGCAGATGGCTGTGTCTTAAGCAAGAAGTCACACAACTTCAGACCTTGTGGGCCCATAAGGGCACGAAGCGGGAGTTTCCCAATATCAAAGACATCAGAGGAATTGCCCAGCGTGGGCTCTGAACCACTCATCAAACCTGAGGCTCCCTGTGCTAGGCCCACCCCACTGACAACCTCTAGGCTAGTGGAGGTGGCTGAGTTCTGTGTCTTTAGGGTGCCTTCAGAGGGACCAGCAAGGGATTGGGCAGGAGGAGGAAGTGAAGTAACTCCTCTGAGACCCATGGGACACTCCTGAAAAAGGCTGTCTGCCTTGGGACCAGGGGCAAGAGGTGGGAACACCCAGGGGCTCCTAACCTGTAGTGCAGAGGGATGTTGAACTGAACACTGTTGAGATCTGGAGGTGAGTGTGGTCAGTGGAACTTCTGGGTTCACTTTGGTTTTGGATACTGAGGACTTCTTTGACACTGAGGTCACAGGCAGTATTGGCTTTGCCTCTGGAGGTTGACCCACACTGGCTGAGGCACTGGAGCCTGGTGCTATCCTGCGTGAACATTCAGCTTTGCTCTGGATAGACACCTGGCATGTGCTGACTGCCTTCCCAGCATCAGTCTTTGATCTAGCTGTGAGACCACCTGAATGGTCACCTGTGGAGACCTGTGTGGGGTGGTTAGGAATCATGTTCGTGGGAAATTTAGGTGGATCTATCATATCACACCAAAGTAGATCACCTTTTTTCAATACAGTGCTTGGGTCTGTTTCCCATGGCTGAATCTCAGGTTCAAATTCAAACAAACAATCATATTCTAGCACAAGTGGTGGCCAGCAATGCCGTGGTACATCACCAGGTAGGGGACCCTTCTTTCCTTTGGCATGTTTCTGCACATCTATTTCAGAAGGCACAGTCAGGTCACAGGGTCTCTGTCTCCACGTGTCTGTATAATTCTGTGTTGTGATCCTCAGGTTGTGCCCCTGGCCCTCATCTTCTTGTTTAATTTCTTTACACATAGTCAGTACTCTGAAGTCTGGGGGAGGAGCACACTGAGACAATTCGTGCAGCAGACTCAGGTTGGGGCTCAAGGGCCGCTTGAAACACTGTTGCATTGGTGCGGTATTCCTCTTCCCCATGCTACACTGCAGTCTGTTGGCAGTGCAGGCTACTGCCACAGAGGGGTTCAGACACATGGGTTCTGATCTAGATAAAGTCCGCCGGCTCCCAAGAGGGGGCTTGTCTTTCTGGGTCCATCGAGGGTTTTCTCTTGCAATGGCCTCTGCATCACACACTAAAGTCTGCATCGTTGGATGTAAAAGAATATGCCTACTTTTGTAAACAGAAGGGGCCAGGCCCACACACTGCCTGTAGTCCCGAATTTCAGCTATGACACATCCACTATGGAAAACATTAATCTGAGATGTGTCCAGGATATCAAGCAGAACAGGAGGTAACTGTCGTGCATCCAAGTACTCCAACAGTTTACTCTCCTCATAGGGCAGTGAAATGGTCTCTACAAAGGACCCACTTTTGTCATCCAGCATGACAGAATAGCCTTTATCTCCTGGGTAAAGGTTGAACACTAAGCATGGCAATGACTCTCTGCTCACCAGCTTCTCTAGCAAGTGGACGCTGGCCGTGAGTTCCTCGGTGACCTCAGGCTCTTTGCCACATTCTTCAACGTAAATGTCATACAGCTTCTCATGGAGAGATTTACCCTCAGCCCATGGGACCCTCCTTGCAGGAGGTCTCTGCTGGGCTCCCGCAATGACCTCGTCTGCACGGTCTAGGGCTTGCTCTAAGCCTCGCTGCATCGTGAGGCACTCGGGCCCTGCAACAAGAGAACATTAATGGAGCCTCTGGACTCCTAACCCGGGTCCCGCAAATCTACACCTGTACCTGGCCACAAACAGCCTGACGCTTATACCGATGGATGTGCGCACCAAGACACTCACCCTCAGCCCCAAGAAAACACTCGATAAAATTTATGAGTATCTGAAAACGCCCGTACCTGTCAGCGGCAAGGCCTTCATGTACCGGTAGTCGGTGCTGCCACAGGGGACCCTCGCAGAGTTTGGTTAGCGCACATGCGCACTGCGCTCACTGTGTGACCTGTGCTGCCCCCCCACTTCCGCCCAGCACGTGCCAGGCTTGTGTCACGCGATGTCACGTGAGCCAGCCGTGCAGCCTTCGCTTCCCGTCCAGTGCTGCGCTCCTGCTGGACACGGGCGTGAGATTCTTCATCTACACCCTCCTCGAGGACCAGACCAGAACGACTTTCTACTGTCGTGTCAGTCTTTGTAGGGCAGTGGACACTTCTGCAGCACCTCGAGGTGCTTGGGAACAGTCCAGTTTCTTTGCCTCAAGCATCCTTACCTCACCCCCCCCCATCTTTTAGTTTCTACAGGCCTGGATATGGGCTGAGTATATGAACTAGATAAATAAGTCTTCTGTTCACTTTGTTGCCTCAAAGTCTGCCAGTTTGGAGGTCAGAGGCCCGCTTTAGAGCCTGCTGTGCGGTCTGCGAGCATGATCCAAGTGCTGCCCCTTAGCTGGCATCCCAGGGCACACGTCTCTTAGCAGAAGATCCGTGCTGCCCTGTCTCAGTGTGGACTGGATCTTCCCCTGCAGTACTGACTGTGTCTTGCCTGTATTTCACTAGAATCACCCTGAGAAGGGGGTCTGAGTACAAGTGTTTTTTCTGGGAGCTCAACTCAAGAAGGCCTAGTGAGAGCTGCACCAAGGACAGTAAAGGAGGCAACAGAAGGCCTGTTCATGAGCAGAGGACAGCTGCGGAGCCCTGGTCTCCGCTGGGGACTGTGAGCAGCAGTAGACCAAAGGGCTCACTTGGTCCTATCCTGGAGGCAAGGAAGCTGAGGCATTTATTCTTGTTTTTCTCTCTCTCTGACTCTCTCTCTCCCTCCCCCTCCCTCCCTTCCTGTCCCTCTGTCTCTGTCTCTCTCTGTCTCTGTCTCTTTCTGTCTCTCTCTGCCTTAGCTGTCCCAGGAGCATTATTCCCTGACACTTGTGCTTGCCATGTACAGTGCCACCCATGCAATGGGGATTGAGGGTGACCTCAGATGGAGTTGCAAGTGCTTGCGGTGAGGCTCAGTCTGTGTGTGCAGAATGACAAGCACCAGGGGAGATGGACAGAGTCCTGGCAGTATTTGTTACAACTAGGACTGAAGCTAAGTGGGAGGGGTCAGCCATTCATTCTTAAAGATGTAGCTAATGTGCTATGTGGTGCCCCTGCGCATAGACAGAAGTGCGATGTGGTCCATGTAAGTGAAATGGTTGACCTCATGGAAGTTTCTGTCCAGCTGTTAGGGCCAGTGTGCTCCAGATGGAGGTCAAGATCCTGCCTTACTCCCAGTGGGTGCACCAAAGACAGCTGAGCTGCTGGTACACTGGAGGAGATCGATCGTGTGCACGTCTGCATGTTGCAGAATGTGCTAGTTGGCCTGGCACTGCTTATCATGGTTCACTCATCCCCTCCACTTAAGCTGCTAATTACCTGATCATCCCAGAAGATGAAGTTTTAGAACTGATTCTATGTGCACTGCATCCTTTCATATTTCCAAGCATGTTCAGGAGCCAACTGGCTGATTTTGAGAACTCCACCTGTAATCTTCCCTTTTAGCAGCTCAGCAGAGATGTGCATGCTAAGAAAATGGCATTTGCTAGAGAAATAAAATAATTTGTTTAATAGGAAAATAATTGACTTCATTATCTAATAGTGAACTTCTGTTTTCTATACCCATTTAGGTCTAGGACAACCTTAAAATTTTTCAATTTGACAGAGAACATTGTATGCATTTATTGTGTACAGTTAGAACTCTATTGCACAATAAGTTTTCTGTAATTATATTGTGTTTTTTCCCATCTCAACAACTCAATAGCTATAATATTTAACATCTTTTTGTTTTTATTTGTAAATGTTTGCATTACATAATGTTACATTTGGGGTAGGGACTTCGTACAAAGTGGATGTAAAATGCTCTTAACACAAATTAATTACTCTGTGAGGTAACTAATTTTCAAAAATTACCTATAATGCTATAGGTAATCTTTCTCAGTACACAGTTCTGAGAGTGTTGAGAAATGTGTACAGTTGTGCAACCAGCACTATAATCCAGTTATGGAATTAGTCCCTCATGCCAAAAAATCCATCATGCGTCTCCAAAGTCAACTTCTTTAACCACCCAGATGTCTGTCAATTGGGGATTTGTTTTCTATATATAAAGATTTGTCTTTTCCAAAAAGGCAGATGAATAGAAGTCATATAAATGGAGTCATAAGCCATATAGCATTTGAAACTAGCTTCCTTCAGACACCTATATTTAAGACTTATCCATGTTCGTGCATGTATTAGCAGTCTTTTCATTGCTGAGTAATATTGCATTGTATAAATGAAGCAGTCTGTTTACCCATTGGTCAGTTGAAGGGCATTTTTAGATTCTTCCTAGTTTTAGGCAAATATGAGTGTAGTTACTGAAATCATCTGCAAACAATAGTTTCTGTCAATGTAATTTTTATTTCTTGAGGTAAATATCCAGGAGGGACAATATTGAATCACAAGACATGTTTATTATGTTTAGCGTTATAAGAATCTGCCAACCTGCTTTCTAAAGTCCCTGTACCAGTTTGTATTCTCAGCAACAGCAATATTGGGAGCTACAGTTGCTCCACATCCTTGTTAGCATTGGTATGATTAAGCTTGTTTTGTTGTAAACAATTTTAGTAGATGTTGTTTTTTGTCCATCTCAACAACTCAATAGCTATAATATTTAACATCTTTTTGTTTTTATTTGTACATGTTTGCATTACATAATGATTACATTTGGGGGACATTGGTATGTCTCATTATGATTTTAATTTGAATTTTTCTAAGAACTAATGCCACTGAAAATCTTTACACGAGCTTTTTTTTGCACCTATATAGTTTGGTTACATGTCTATTCAAGTATTTTTGCCTTGGAGTGTTCATGTAGTTTAATGGTAGAGCACTTTCCTAACGTGTCCAAAGGTTTGATTCCTAGCATTGAAAAAAACTATCTTTTTTATCGGGCTATTCTGCTTTAGATTCTTTTTTATTTTTCTTTCACTTTTTAAAAATTTATTTTACAGAAAAAAAGCACAGAAAAAATCTAAAAAGCAATCAAACAAACAAATAAAAACAACAACAAAAGAGCCGATCACCGACAACAACAACAAAAATGAGAGTGATACAGGATTTCAAAACAAGATGGTAGGAATTTGACACCACTAAGCTATATCCTCAGCCCTTTATTTTTATTTTATTAAAAGAAAACAAAACAAAGCAATATAAACAATATAGGATTTCAAAACATGCTGGTAGAAAATTAACAATAGTCACTGTATTGCATATTGTGTTCTTCAAAATAGTTGCTCAGATTACAAGATACAGACATGCTCTGCTTTGAATTCTTTAAAGTATGTGTGCTTTTCAAATATTTTCTACCAGCCTGTACCTATTTTTCATTTTCTTAATAAAATTCTAAAGAGAGTAATTTTTAACTTTGATAGAGTCCAATTTATTTTGTTTTGTTTTGGTTTTGTTGTTTTAAGATAGGGTCTCACTATATAGCCCAGGTTGGCCTCAAACTCATGATCCTCCTGTCTCAGCTCTCCAAGTGCTATGTCAAGGAAAACATATGCTGGAAAATATGAGGAAATAGATTTCCCTTTAGAGCCTCCAGAAAAAAAATTTAGCCTTGTCATAACCTTAGGGGTGTTTCTTTGTCTGCTGAAGTTTTTGTTTGGTTGGTTTTTGGTGTTTTTTGCTAAAAACTGAGATCTATTTCTGCTTCTGACTTCCTGGACTGTAAGTAGTCATTGTGTTCTGTTTGAAGTCCTTATATTTGTGATAATTTTTAATTAGCAACACTGTTTTCTTAGCCTGTTCAGAGTGCTCCAATCAAATACCTTAGACTGGGTAATTTATGAACAACAAATATATACTTCTCACAGTTCTGGAGGCTACAAAATCCAAAATCAAGGTGCCAACAGATTTAAAGTCTAACAAGAGCTTATTTCCCTTAGACTGTGCCTTCCAGCTCTAATCTTACATGACAGAAGCCACAGATAAACTCCTTCGGGCCTCTTTTCTAGGAGCACCAATAAGAGTAATTACCCAAAGATTCCACCTCTTAATACCAAGACCTTGGGGTTAGGTTTTGACACATGGGGGGAGCAGACACAAACATTCACACCCCAGCAATTGACAGTTAATACATGTTTTACATGATGGGTGGCGCTGAGAACTCAGGCATGTCTGTTTTATGCCACCTTGTGCTCACTGAATCTTCCCTAACAAAAGAGGACAGGCTGGTTTCATAATATAATTCAAAGTGGGGAGGGGGGTACAAGCAGTTTTTCCTAGAACATCTACTTAACATCTTTAATTTGATTTGATAAAAAGCTTCATTTTCAGGATTTTATGTCTCAGAAACAAATCAGTGAGAAATACAATGTCTTGGGGATGCAGAACAAACCTAAAAAGAATAATACTGTGGCATGAACTCTGACTCTGAGACTAGGCATGCTTGTTTGATTTTCTGGGAGTCTCTATTTCTTCGTCTATAAAATTAAGGGTATGATGAACTCCAAGAATTAAGGCATAGCAAAGCCAGTATGCAGGGAGCATTGAACAAATGTTCACCATCGTCATTTCTATAAAGCTAAATGTTATTGAAAAGCAGATAATCACGGTTAACTCAATCTTATTTTACATCACTGAATTATCTTTGGTGCAAGGATATAGACGTCCAGGGCAGAGAGATGGAGGAGTTGA